GTAGTGGTGGTCGTAGTAGTAATAGTAGCAGCAGCAGCAAATTAGGATGGGAGCGTCCAGAGTGTCCCCGTGACAAGCTTCCCTTGAAGAACGGACGGAACGGAACGGGACGGGACGAAACGGGATGGGGGCGGGACGGGACGGAGACGACGCGACGCGACGCGTGCCGGCCCGTAAGAGGGAAGAACAGCGAGCGGAATGATCTGAAGCAGCTACCGGCCTGAGGGCAAATGTCAGGACAAAACGTAAACCCGAAGTAGATCAGCAGGTACCTGCACCAGCGAAGGTAAAGAATCGCAAAACTGCAGCCACCACGTGATGGCATCAAAGGCCCCATGCCCATGCTCCCTCAGACCCGTAGATGCCTTCGAAATAGCCTTAGCTGCATTCCCCGAGCGCACTGACCCAAGAAGTCTTTGTCGGTCACAGTCTTGCCTTTCCTGACCCCAATGATGAATTGGATGATCTGGGAAGCATGTCCCGAAAGGCCTGTCAACCAGCTCGAAGGCACCACCAAGTCTAGGAACGCCGATTCGCTCCTCTACCGCCGGGATGGATGCAACGAAGGCGAAGCTGGGATGCCAGGTAATTCCAACAACATCACACCCCCCGCTCCTGTGTGGTAATGGCTCGGGACTCTGACTCCTTGCGGTCTTTCAGATAGTCATAATACCTGGCGCTTCCGGCAAAGTCTGCCAAAGCCGAACAGGCTCGTCAGCAAACAAGGCGCACACCATATACAGAACCCTCCCACGCAGCAAGTGAAAATGGCCGACTTCCAAGTGAATTGCACCTCAGGGCGATGTTCCTTATGTTAGGAGCGCTTAATGCTGCCGGAGTCCTAAGTGCTCAACGTTCTCATTGACTTTCCTGGCACTGCATGATGCCCGCACAAGCAGACGACGATAGACTGAAGGTCTTGCTCGGGTTGTCACGCATGAGCACTAGCACACTTCGGCAGCACAGCTCGTGCAACAGCAAGGCACATGCTCAAAGAACATGCAGCAGATTGAATCCCCCGAAGCGAACGCACATGTAGCGCATGAGCTCAAGATGGCTCTGCGCTGCAAAATGGATCATAACAGATTCGACTCCCAGTCCAAGGTCAGAAACTCCAGTCAAGCGTCAACTGAATTTCACTCAGCTGAGAGAAGACCTATGTCGATGGGGGCACCAGTACCAGACCCAATCCGCCATGAATGTGGCTGCTGCACGGCCTGGATTCTCCACTGTCTCCTTCGGTCTTTCCCTGGGCTTCTGCATCTTTTCCTCTCGTCGCTGATGGCACGTCCAGATGACTCGATGACTGTGAGATCAAACGTAGGTTACAGTAGTAGTGGTGTGGTGAAAACGAAGACTGCGACTGCAACAGAGCCTGCCGATGCGAAAGCACGGACTCGGCCGACCTGCCGGCAAAAGACACATTGCTGTTGCAATTGCCCGCACACTCGTGGCCTCTGGCTGAATTTTGGGCAGGTGTGCCTGGGCAGAATTCGGTCAGAAAGCAGCTTGAATTCAACCAATGCAATGCCAATCGTGACGGACTGAAAACTTTAGACACAAGCAGCATGCACATGTGGAAACGTGCAGCAGCCGCGGAGAACGATCCAGTCATGCAGGCTCGACATAAATTAACGATGCAACAGCATATGCAATCTAGTCCACGAGCACAAATGTGGTGGTATGGCTAGGTGAGTCGCAAGGAGGCTGGGTCCTGGCCTTCAAGACTTTAGAAGAACCTCCCTCACGGCTAGTCCTTGAAACTCGCAGCGAAAACGTGCATTTGCTCTTTGCTGCAGGGCAGCGAACAGTGGGCGGGAAGCATGGCGGATAGGTCTGCTCAATGTCAAAAGCATTATGCAAAGCTGACACTACCATGCAATGGGCGACGTGGCTATCACAGGCCTTCTGTGTCGAATGTCACGAAAGATTTCAGCTGGAGTTTGTGTGTGTGTGTGTGTCTCTGCCACATGTGCGTGTCAGCTGGTCTTTGCTAGAGCTCTGGCAACACAAGCAATGCGCTTCTCTCATGTATGCCCCATCCACCCGTCCACCCGACCCTCTATGCAAGCAAAGGTCCTGTCGCTCCCTCAATTTCATTTTGGTGCCATGCTGACAGGACTGCTTCAAGTTCATTTACCTCGAAGCTGCCGTTGCTCAAGTGTCGGATATATGGTGAAAGGAGGCGCCGTCGACGTCCAAGACCTTAATCGCAGGAAACATACAAATGGGGTGGCCTTAATGTCCCCGCCCCATCCCACCCCCACACTCTGTCGAGAGGCAAACGGACTCTGCGAATGCTCCTTTGAGCCTCTGCGAGTGCCAGCTCGCTCCGGCGTCGCAGGTCGCATGCGCCGTGAGTCAGAGCCACCCCGCACTGCCACTGCCACACGCGGAAGCTGAGGTACATCACAAGGACCTGCCCGAACTCGCGGGCATCCTGCTGGAAGCGAGCTGCTTCCGAAAGCCAAAGCAACTCCATCACTCCGCCAAAGCACTGTGTGTCGTAAGCCTGCTGCTATACAGGTGTAGCAGGTTCCGGCAGGTAGCGGGGGAACGTTGCAGCGACCGTCACTGTTGTGTCCGAATGCCAGAACAGTCCCATCACTGCACAGCACAACACTGTGATGACAACCAGCTGCTATAGCAACGTACTGCTGTCCCGCTGGAGGCAATGGAATCTGTTGACGCTCGCTCCCATCCTCTGGCCCACATGCAATCGCTTGCCCGTCACTGCGCAGTAACAGCGTGTGTTCCAGATTCGCTGCGACGTCAATGTATTTCACTCCAGTTGGAGGCTGAGGAATCAACCCCTGGCTTTTGTAAGATCCGCAAGCAAGCGACACTCCGTCGCTTCGAAGCAACAGCGTGTGAAATGTCCCAGCAGCTACAGCCACATATCTCAGTTGCCTGGCAACTTTATTTTCGGGCGTTCGTTGAACGCGTGCGTGGCCAAGTCGACGAACATTTCGCTGCAATGCGCCAACATGGACTGCAACGTCCTGTCAGACTGATGCATCGATTTTGACCATTGGATAGCTTGGCTTGCTTGGTAGAACCAGCAGGATCTAATCCCTGCCTCAACAGAGCGAAGTCCGTCACATGTGGTGACTGAGCTATCTATGGCTGACTGACTGACTCTTCATGTTCTGCGACACTGGCCTTGTTCACCTCCTTTTGCTCAACAGTGCTCAACTAGAATCCACCATGGCCTTGTCCTGAGCATCGGTTTTGTTGACCGCAGATGGCTCTGGCCGTTCCGTCGTCAATGCCTCATGATTGCATCATGTGCAGTGCATCGCGGAAGTGCACAAATTTGCGGTCGGGTTCGATAAGTGTCCTTTCGATAGGTGCCGTGGGAGCCAATTCGCCGGAAATTCGAAGCTTGGCAGTTCGTGTTTATCCCTGTTTGCTGTACTAGATTCAGATTGGTTTCGGCATTAAGAGAGGAACCGAACGCAGCCATGTGCACAACCACTGTGTTTTTTTGCATAGCTGCCATGCGCTGTAGGGTGCTGCATAGTGATATGCAAGCATGTATGACCATGAATCTGAGCAGTTTGTCGCATATAGAGTTGCGTACCCAACCGCATGTTCATGTGAGTCATGCTCATGAAGAGGTCTATACTCTCATACAGCACTTGTTGTCACATTTTTCATTTCGTAACACATGCTAATACTGGAATTCACAGCGCCCTACATTGTTCTTTAACCTCAAAATGCAGTTTATACCAATCATCTGTGACGTCATACCATCACACTAATGACTATATAACATATTCTGGAGTATCACGTGCTTGGTTTTTGCGTTTCACCAAAACACACTGTATCATTCATTGTCACACACTACAGACTGCCCAAAAAAGTGTCGTTCACACTGATACACCGGTATCTCTTGTCCCAGGAAGAGGGTTTGGAATGGTTTGGACATCCGCGAAAAAATGCCGCTACACCGACGCACCCAAATCGTCTCGAGAATGATGGTCATTACGGATTAGAGGGATCTCGGGCTTAGTGGGAAGACAGGATGTCGGTGTATTGTGATATCTATATTTTCAGTTTTCATGCGTAACTGCGGTATCAACCCCAAAAGACACTGATGCATCGATGCCATGGTACAAGTATTGGAATTTGGTGGCGGGGCACGCATATACGCAATCAGCCAATATCATCGTTCGTCACGTTTAGTAGAGTATTCAAGCGTATACGCATACACACATGCTTGCGCGCATACATACATACATACATACATACATACATACATACATACATACGTGCATGCTTGCGCACATTCGCACATTCACACATGCGCCAACACACACACACACACACACACATGAGGGTATATGTATATATATATATATATGTATATATATATATATACGCAGACACACTATATGTTTCTTAGATCGTGTGCATTCACATGCAGCCGTACCTTACAATACACTGCAACACAGCGAGTAAAAAGGTGAGCCGGAGGGAAAACAACCGGCGGGATAATATCCAAAAACTCTGTCGCTCAACGAAATCCGACAGCTACTGAAGGACGAGAAGCAGGGACTGCACACTGCCCTTCTTGACGCCGACCGACAGCAACAGCTTCGCCATCGCTGCACAGCAAGACCTGGGCTGCATGCATTTTCAGAAGACCACCCAATGGGAATTCCTACACGGCCAGCCGGCTGTGTGCCAGTTTCCAGCAGCAGCTCGAACATAATGTTTGCCAGGCCCCGGTGGTGGCACCTGCAGAACTGGGCTCTGACTAGTGGTCCAACAGTTGCGCAGGCTTGTCCATGGCCGATAAAGAATGCTAGCGCATGAAGCTATTTTGAAGGCGACGAAAGAAACCGTCAGTGCAAGCAAGGCACGTCACATTGTCCGTGCTCATTTGCTCCAAAAGCGAGTGCTTTGCCGTCGCTGCGGAGCAAAACGGTGTGACGACCTCGACAAGCATGGGACCAGTGGTTGCTCATACCACAACTTGGCCGCTGAGGAACGAACAACCTGCTGCAGCTGATACGTAGCGCAGACTTTTCGGCAAGGCTGGAACCTGCCAAATACGAGTCCCACTCAGAAAAGCGGGAGGCACTCTCATCCATAGCCTCACACTGGCCGAATTTGTTGTCGCCAAAGGCAACTGCTTCTCCTTAAAGGTGCTACAGCTGCTACGGCATTACAAGCTCCACCAACTTCAACCGCTGGCTTGATCTCGTTTGCATCGTGCAACAGCTTATACGCCGCCATTTTCGAGCTGGCCGTGCTTCTTCACGCCGTGTGACAAAGTCGCAAGCTCCAGGTCCAGGCCAAGCGGCCATGGGATCGGATAAGAACCTGGGCTTTTCTGACAATCGGCACCATGCACTTCGTGTCGGAGCGAGCTTCCCCACTGATCTACACCAAGCGACAGTATGAAAATCTCCGCAGGCCGCCATGTCCGGCATCTAGCGCCCGCCACTTGCTATGCTGTTCCTGGAGCTGCAGGAGTTGATGGTGCCATTCCACTAAGGGTAGTATATGAGTATATGTGTACACACAAACACACACACACACACACCCGTGAAAGACCGTGGGTAAAAGCATGTAGAGCTGAAGCGGCTTACATGCAGAGTGCAGGCATGCAAATGGAGGCACTGACGCCCTACCAACAAAGTGGACACCTCGACTAAGCCCTGTGGAGGCCCAGGCCCCAGGGAAGGTGGGTGGATGTGGGTGGGCAACATGAGGGACTTGAGTCATATCTGTCCACGACTCAAGTCACCTGTCACCAGTTCAAGCTGCAAGTGGGCCCTTTCCCAACCATGAATACAGCTTGTCAAAACGCGGCTTTACCGCAGTGCACAACGAACAAGGAGGCGATTAGCTTCAAGGAGCTAGGGTCTCGTTCGCTTCTGCCGAAGGTCCTCATGAGCACCTCGTGTAGGGACTTCGCTAGCAACGAGGTGTCTCGTTGTCACGGTCAGCTGGCAGCGCCCATGTCGGCTACGCAGCACATGCAAATCCTCTATGTATGTATGGCAATGAAACTTGGCCCTGAAGAAGAAACGAGCAGCCCTCGTGAGATCTCGTGAGTGAGGTTTGCGGGCATGTGCGTGTCTGTGTGTGTGTGTGCGTGCGAGTGAGTGAGCGTATGTGCGTGTGTGCGTGCGTGCGTGCGTGCGTGCGAGTGTGTGTTTTTTTGCACAGGGAGGGCTTGCTTTAGCCATTCCGCCCCGAAGGTCTGAGCCAAGAGTCAGGAAGTCAGGTACACGCCTAAGGCGATCCCGAATCGGTCTGGGTCAGCACATGCATCGAGGCTGCAGGGCTTCACTGGCTGCTCTTAACTCGAAGGCCAGGGCCATTCATACATGTTCAAACGGTTTGCCGTTCGGACTTCTGCACAAGGCACAACCTCCACACTGGGTGGAGGGCAAAAACAGGCATCTAGCACCAAAGCTCCTTACATGGGAACATGCAACCTTAGAAAACGACAGACTTGTGGTGCTGTCAGCCTTCGGGTGCGCACAGTGCCAGGCTTGTGTCCGCCAGAGCGGACACGAGCCACTTCACTGAGTGCAGTCACATTAGCGATCCGAGATCCAACTCGATTCGGCGCACAGGGCCTTTTGCACATTTGGCTTCGCCAGTATGCAGAAAAAAAGCAGCCTGCATGGAGCGGAAGAGAGGAATCGAGATAAGCAGCTTTGTGTGATCTGAGTTCAACGGCCTGCATCTGTTTGTGTGTTGGGCTTCCAAGATAACCGAGTGAACCTAGCTAAGCACCATTCATGTCTTTGGGCGTGCTGAACCTCAGAATGATCAATCCAGATAGGTCACGCTCGGAACGATGATTCTTCTGCACAAACCGATCTAAGCTGCCGGCGCCTTGTCGAATGTGTTCTTCGCACCTGAGCTGTACCAGGCAAGAGGACATCTTGGTCTTGGAGTCACGAGGCAGGCACGGCGACGCTCGTTTCGAACATTGCTGTCCACCAGGATCTGAAAAGAGCGAAGAGAAGCTGTGCTGTTTTGGAGCTGTGGCATAGGCGGTGCTCTCTCACCAGCGCTTAGAAAAGAAACGCTCAAAGCGTCGCTGCCCTTCTCGAGGCCGAGCCCTGGCCTGGCCTGCAGGCTCCTTTCCAGGCTTCCCAGCCTCTGCGCAACGAAGTCGGATGACAGATTGCGGAGCTCTGCGGCCCAAAAAATACTCCCCACCGACTACTTGCAGTCCAGCTGCCTTGACTCAATCCTTTGGTCGCCTTCGGCGGCTTCCTCGCCCAGGATTGCTTCAATGCGGCAATGATCTGCCATGATCTCTATGCAGTCAGCCCGCCTTGAATTTGAGATTGAGTCCAGGCGCGACATCATTTTCCAGAATCTCCTGCGATCTCCATCTTCACAAAGCCACTTCTGCCCACTGGGCTGACTGATCGCAAACAGCGTACCGTGCGGGAACATTGTCAGTCCATTCTTATTTGGGAACACAATACATGCACAATACATTCCTGTTAGAGCAAACTGAAGGAATGGTTCTGATGATTTCAGCCATCACTTTGCTCGCTGTGACGTGCACGCATGCACCGATCCACTTGTTCTACCGTTTCCATTATTCCAATTCCACTCCATTCCTTCTTCCGGGTGCCATGTGTGCCATGGTCCCTCGTGCAGCCGCTCCCAGAGTGTACACAGTGTGTTCTGCGCGGGTCCGCGCGCTGAGCATGATCGTCAGCAAAGTGCCCTCTGCGGATTGCGAGGCCGCGAGGGCGAGGGCCGGAGACTCCAGGATTCCTACGTTGCCTTAGCATCCACTGCTGTTAGTGTTATGTACGAACTGTAGCGTCATCTGCCGGGCCGCTGGCACGCTAGTGCACGTCCACGGGGGTCAAGGCAACTCTGCTTAGAAGGCACCCCTTCTCAAACCCCAGAAAGCCTCCTCCTTCGGAGCAGAGAACCAAATGTAGGACGCGCTCGCTTTCACATCTGGCCGAGAGGATCGACATGTGAGCAAAGCACAACGAAACCGGATTTGAGCCACTCCGTGCAAGGCCTTGTTCGTTCACATCCATGTCCTGGCGACACAAAAGCGCTGACTGCTGAACGAAAGTGATCTCTCCTGTCCTCCTCGATTACGGAGCAGGATGTGTTGCCATGATTTTCATGTACAATCATCGCAACACTCTCAGCCGGGAAATGCTGTACTGCACACTTACTATCACAGGGCATCAGCATGTAGATCTACGCCCTGTGATGCACCGACCGAGTTGAGTGTTCAGTGTCTACAAGCTCGGTCCTCAGCCTTGTGGCATCTGCACAACAATCGGGTGAGTGCCTCTGTCAGCATCACAAACCTTTTGTGATAAGTCTTGCCTGACGGGAGCACTCTTGCGAAACCTTGTACTTCAAGACTCTCCTGGCTCTTGCCCGCTGAAAATCAAGCCAGACCTCGGCGACTCGGCATCGGCGGCCACGAGAGAGACCGTGACTTCAGAAAGCAAATGCAGGAAGGAGTCCGGAAGAAGCAACTGAGACGATGGCATTCTTGATTGCAAAATCCAGCCAAACCTTACTCACATCAGCGAAACACGCTAGCTCATCTCGCTTGACAACTGCTGCGACTTGCATGAAAAATCACAGACAACAGCAAAACTGATAATGACAAGCAACACTGAGGACGGAGATCAGGATGTTCATGATGAGGACCGGGAACATCATGCCGCAAAGCACTATGAAGACTCCTCGGACCTGTCTCGCACAGGGCAGGGCTGTCCCGCGGCTCGTGCACCGACCCGCGCACTGAGGCGGCCGCTAGTGTGGAATTGTCAGTGAGCTCTGGATCCTGGAGACAAAAACAGTCAGTCAGTCGGTCATACGCCGGGGGGCGCATGGACACGTAAACTAGCACACCACGGGATTTTCACAAGTCTGATTATCTCACGGTGGCTTTCAAGGAATTTGGTTTGTCCCTAACAGATGCCCATTCTCGCTGCAGCCTCCTCACTCTTGTCACAAGGCAGGCTACAACGTACTGGAAGCAGCAGGAGCGGGACAGTAAGCTCTATGCAGAACTTCCGTATTGGGCACTCTTGAGATGCAAGCGGGTGGGATTCGATGGGATGCCCAAAATATACTTAGTTTGACCTGGATTTGAAAACCATCAAGACGTAAACGATCCTCCGAAGATGAACACAAGCAGCTCAGGGAATACATCAGCTACGATTCAAGAAGTGTTTTACGGATTTTAACATTCCGATCCCACGATAATGCAGACTACTTCCAAACTTTTTAGAGTAAAAGAAAGTCCCGCTTTGACATCTCGATTCTCGGACCCTGTTTGCCTCCCTCTCAAACAACGACTCCTTGACGCAGGTGTGCACACCAGGTTTTGGCAATAACGGATTGAAGATGCAATTTTCGTTCCTTTGTGAAATGGTCAGATCCGCCTGCTGGCTTCGATTGGAAGAAAAGTTTTTGACAGCAACAATGTTGACAGCCTGCTTGATGCATTGTGCGGTTTCGGTATTCCTGATTGTTGCCGGCAAATCATTTACAATATGATGCAGCATCGCAGGCTTATGTCAAATCCAACCTAAAATCACAGAAATCTGGCATTTCACAAGGATGCACTTTAAGCTGCTGTCTGTCAGAGTCTATCATCACAATGACGGTCTTGAGGTACGATGCTGCTTCCAATCTAAGTGGGTCTCCACTGCTCTCATACAATCGTTGGGATTTGGCCGATATTGTCTATGCTTGGGATACGCGTAAGTTTGAACTGCTACAGGTACAATGTCGAGCAATCATTCGGACTCCGACGTGTGAGCATGTTGCGCCAGAACTGGGCATGAATTCGCAATCTGTTCTCAGACTCTCTACGATGGTCGCTCTGAAGGAGCAAATTGGTCGGTAGTTGCTCGGATCGGCTTGGTCTCCTTTCTCGAATAACATTGCAACAATCAGTAGCTGTGGACGATTCGTCGAGAACCATGGCGGCTCGCCAGCGATGGTTGCAAAGATCCAAAAGCCATTAGAAGTATTCGGGTTCTGCGACATGCCAAAACCTTGAACACCTCCACGCTACACAGGGAATACCATCTCTTCTAGCTGCCTTAGCCGCTGGCGATGTTTGACATAGCTTTCCTGAGCTCGGTGTGGTTGAAAGCCGACACGCTGACACTGAAAACTTCACCCAAATTCGTTCGCTTTTCCAGGTGCTCAGTTAATTAGCGTCTGTGCCTGCAGCTCAGACGAAGCAAATTCCCCATCAGCGTTGTCAATCTCGCTGCCTGGTTTATCCGACCTTTGCGGAGTTCTTGAACCGATTTCCAACCGGAAGCTTCAAATCCTCGAGTCATTTGGAGCGATCCATTTTTGCTTGCTTCTTGACCTCCTTCCGCAATTGCCTCCCAACATTCCAGCTGCCATTTACTCGAGCTTCAAGCCTGTGGCTCAAGAGGTCCAGTGTGCGTCAGCTGTTTGCTGGCCCTTGCGCTTTCGTGGGGTACAATCACACGGTACCTTTTGCAAGAGTGCAGCCGGCACCGAGAACAAGGGCAATCTCAGAAATGGTTCGCATGGCATCCACAAATCTCATCATGGTTCAGTTGCGAGGAGATCTGCTCAGAGACTGCGCGTCTGAGAATAGGGTTTTGTAGTGCTGACCAATCCATGTGCAACACTGTCTTGCTGACGTGATTCTGAGATGTCAGTCCCATAATCGGAAAGTGGCTGGACGGTCACTGAGCATGCCGCGTGCCGGCTTGAGGTCATGCTGTGACGTAAAAGCATCGCAAGCAGTTTATCCAAAAAAGTGCTTGCACAAACGGGTGCGAGAGCTGGGACTCGCGGTTCTGGTCATCTGGCCTGTTGTAAAGAGTGTTTGCAACCTGCGCGTTGCAATTGTCGAGGAGAAAGTCTCGGTTTGGCATTTCGACTCGCTGTTGAGCCTCGACTCCAAAACAATGTGGACCAATCACATTCTGTTCTCCAGGACGAGACGAGCATTTTCTTTACGGTGCGAATCTCAAAAGGCAAATCGACCTTGGCGAAAAGCTGAGAAGACGCAACTTCACCTTGGCTTGAATCACGACGAAACTCGGAAAAGTCCCTGGTGCTTTGCAGGAAGCGGTCCCAGAGTGTCTCAGTTTGCGGTTTTGTGTAGACATCCGTGGGGCCCGGCTGGGTAAGACCAAACTTGACACAATGCTTGTTCAACCACGCCTGTGCTTCTTCCGGGGACGATACCTCGGCAACATTCCTTAAAATCATAGAATACCATAGATACAAGACTCGAATTTCCAATTCCTCCGCGAGAAGAAGTCCTCATTTTCCCCCTCTCTCGTTCCAATTCCTCCACCAAGCAGGGATTTCTGGAAGGCGTTCAGGTCGAAATGAATCTGCTGAAGGCTGCTGAAGAAACTGGTGCACGGGAGATCATGGGATCAAGTTTCTTGTCCAATAGTTGTTCGAGAGCACTCAAAGTAAGCGATGTTGGTGCACATCTGCACTGGGCGTTTAATTGGCAAAAGGTCATACCGACGACAATAGCACGAACAGGGGGGTGGCACAAGTTCTGCAGATTTCGCAGTATCTAAAACCTTTACAGCCACTATTCGCACGAGCCTCGTATGTCCACATCGGTCGATCGGCAGCCTCGTCAACACCCAGCACATGCAGAGGGCGACTCGCACCGCCAATCTGCCTGGCCTGGTGCCAGGTGCCTGCATGCTCTACCCTCAGACTGTCAGAACATGCCTGAACCGTCGAGACCGGACCGCAGCCTTCTTGACCTTCAAGCTCTTCGACTTCGAAGTCGCCCAGGACAGCAAAACGCCAAGCAATAATAATTGCCTGGAAGCGGGAAGCCCAACAGCAAATCGCTTCATCTGCAAGCCAGATTGCATCTTGTCAAGAACGTCAGCCGCCAACCTTCCAGCCGTTTTGCCATTCTTCCACATCTAAGGTCCAGTATGCTTGCCACATGATAAACGCCTCGGCACGTCTTCATGCAATGTCTCACACACGGTTCGGCAGTCACTCAATCAGCATTGGCCGTGGCCCTTGCGAAGTAAATCACTGCAATGCAAAACCTGAGCGCGAGCGTGGACATCTCTGCCAACCCTTGAGCCTTGAACTCGCACATACTGACTGCCGTCCCGCTAGAGCTTGGCAAAGGTCGCTTGGCTTAGTTGCATCTGGTTTCCACAGTCCTGATACTATAGTTCCTATAGCCTTACGGGTTGCCCGTGCTACACTCTGCTAGACCTGCTCCAAACCTGCAAAGCCGTGAAAAGCTCGAGCGGGAATGCTGCAATATGCTGCGATGCACGCACTGTGCTTTCTTCACGGACGTATTCCTGCTGCGTTGAGGCTGGTGAACGGTTGCATCAAGTTTCATGTTAGCAGAGGTCAGCTGCAGGTTCCACAGTACAAACAGACAGCTCACTTAGCCTTCTCGCCATCTCTCCAGGCGACCGCAAGATGATGCTCAGCACGCTCCGAACTGAGTCAAGTGCGGAAGTGACCGAGCCAAAGCTGAAATGATCGGTGTCACGATCATGTTCACCTCTGAGAAGGCTAGCCTCCTGGGCAGAATTGGATATTGCACCATGGGTGTGGCGGCTGGAAGGACCCAGGCAGCATGTCAATGTTGTGCATCAATCGCAGGGAGCTCGTCACAATGATGGCGGCTCGCATGGACAGACGATCCACCTGAGGATACAGGGCAGTCGCCTGAAGCAGAACTTATTAAAGGACTTGGTTCCGTTCTGTCTTGGAGCCCCGCTACCCCACGATCCGCGCAGGTTAGTGGGCGGCTTGTGGGTGGGATCATGAAGACCTCAGTGACCAGAAAGCGTGAACACGAGAGTGGAGTCATGGCCAGGGCGCGACGATGAACAGAGTCATGGTTGCTATAGCCAGGGTCAACTCCATGGCCTTGCACGAAGCACTGCTGGATGTACATTGCATTTCTTGGATTGACTCGCCAAAGGTGTTGCAGACGGCTCTTGCGAAGTTAGACTCACCGTGGCTACAACGGGCAAGGCTTCACGGTCTTCGATGTTACGGAAATCCGTCGCTCATGAATCTCAAAAAGAGCAAAAAGGTTCCATGAAGCTGGGTCAGCATCAGATCAGAAAGCCCGCCCGAGCAGTTGGAGTCGCAGGATGGTGCTGCCTCTGTGTAGACTTCCCATGGCTCCCTCATCTTATTGCCCACTGCCTGGGTTGGACGTAGATAATGCCACCAAGCACAGTCACGGCTGGACATCAATGCACAGGCTGATACGACCACCTCGCCTCACAGAGCCTCATGACGACGGTTGCTGTGACGAAGGGAAGACCTGACAAGGCCTCACATGCTGAAGCAAAGTTGAGGCAGAGTGTCGCATGAACTGAAACAACCAACGCCGCACGCATCCCCAAGACATCGAGTGCTGGACGAACCAGGGGAGGTTGGCACACCACTCTGGGTCCTGAGACCAGTCTTTAAACCGAATGTTCAGTTTTGGTGCAGGCTTGCTGCGAAGAAGTCAGAAGCCTCATCTCGCAATGTTGAGATGCTGAAGAGCAGCAACAAGGAGGTGACTGCCTGCAACCCGAATTTTCGAAAATGCCGAAATGGCATGCGCCCTCGCAACACGTTACAAGATGCTACGAGACTGTCAAGCCTGAATTGCGAGGTCTGACAAGTGAATTTTTCTGACAGTGGTCCAGTTGAAAGACCTGAGAGAGTAAACGCACATCGCACAAGCTAGCTGGCTGCATGCGGCGGTGAGGTTCCTGGCACGATGGCCTCACACTCGCGCAGGCGAAAGATTTCCTCAAAGGACACAGTGATGCTGGACAAGGACACCCGTCGTGATCTGCAACCCCGAAGTTCTCCTGGTTCGGACAGCTGGCAATAGCAAGCAAGACCTCAGAGCGTCCGATCTCGGCTCAGAAAATCCAAGGGAGATCCTGATCCTCGCTGACAACGGCCTAACGTGGCTTTTGTCCGTGCCCGAGTGTGAGGCCTCCTCGCTTTGGTGCAAGTTCGCGACAAGGCAGGCCTTGGCTTTCGCAGGCTTCGGCGAAAGATCGGATTTGGCAGAGTTCTTGCCAAGACACAAAAAAGTTGACGGGAAGGTACACACCTCGCAGGCCAGTTGCCGATTGCCAGCTCAAAGCTGCTGTGTTACTGACTCAGATGCGAGTTGGGACCATTCCCACTAAGCCGGGCTCTCTCCCTGAAAAGGCTGCCTAAGCCAGAGTACGCCGATGCCTGTGAGGATTCGAGCTGGACAGGACAGCGTCGCAGATAATAAATGGCCTTCTCCGGCTGGGGCGCAATTCGCTGAACGAACTCTGGGATTTGATCCTCGGTGCGACAGCGGGAGACTCTTTGCTCTGCACGTCTGAGCCTAAATCGGCGCACCCGTAAGACTCTTCTGTCTTTCCAATGCTTGTCCACATCGTCCCTGGACGGCCCTTCGGTGAAGTTGATTACATGTTGGACCTCGAGAGACGGCCCCCCATGCGGAATTGAAGGCTGACAAAGGTACATGGATCTCGCAGTCCTGCCTTTCCGTATACCAGGATTTTTCGAATGTTGGCCTCGTGCAGCAAATGCATAAATCGATTGATATAGCTTCAAGGCAAGCAGCAGCACTGGCACTCAGCCACATGCTGACTGAGCATAGACTCCTCACGATGGTACCGAAAGAGCGAGACCATCTCAGAGTTTGCAGAGTGAAAGCCGAGATGCGCGTGTCGCTCTGCTTGACATTCATGATGTATTCTGGACCTGAGAACCAGTGATATAGTGTGATGGGGACCGTTCTCTAGCCATTCAACCTTCGAAATGAAATGAAGGCCGAGTCCAGCACGAAAATATTCGTCGTATTTGCCTGGATGCAAGTTTGTTGGCTCATGTGATCTACCAACCTGCCGGATGTGCCGTACCTCATGTATCTGAGCTACTGGATAGCTCACCCATTCATCGCATGCCCTTGTTGGCTTGCGAAGCCTACCCTAAAGCACTAGAGACAAGGTTGCTTCCTCGCGGAGATGAATCTGATTGGACAGGCCGCACTGACGAGAATGCGTGAGGTGTGGAGACTTGAAACATGAAGTGAAGGAGAGAAGTCTGTCCAAGCAAAGCAAAGCCCACAGCAGATTTAGCGAACACGCATGGAAACATGCCTTCTGGAGACACCCTTATGGAACATTCTAAACATCTTGCCTGCAGACCTCGATGCGAACCGCCGTTTTCAAGGTTCTGTCTTCCCCACGTCAACTCCTTGCGTTCAAATGCCTCTTTCACCCACTATCCACTTCGCGTCGGGTTCAGAAGTACGCTCGATGCCAAGCATGTTTCGCCATCTACAGACTTGTTTCGCCCCTCCAAAGCCCCACAACAGCCGTCAGCCATCTTCAGCCACCGGGTCACCGGCCTTCGCCTCGGGACGAGGCGCTGGTCTGCTGGGCCGGCTTCCAATACCTGAGAAAAGCAAAGCCGCAGGGCATTGCTTTTGCTGTGACCATGTTGTCCACGTTTGCAACTGAGACCTTGCTCATGTCCTGCGGTTTCTGCTTGAGGTCTGGACTTGATTTGACTGGTCTCGTAGAAGACCGCCTGCACATGTCGAAAATAATGTCTGGGCGATGGCTGACCTCTGCTTGGATGGACAGCACCAAAGTAATCAAAACACAAGCGTGTTGGATATCTGCGTGTTTTTTGCGTGTCGTGCGTGTTGGTGTGGCTTGCTTCGACTAGTGCCGTTTCTCCCTCCAGATTGCCGGGAAAACGCACGTTGCTGGATCTTTTCCTTATTCAATGCAAAACCGAGAACCTTGGAGGCGATCCAAATGCACGACGTTTCTAGGAGACAAGGAAGGGGCGAGTAGGAGTGGAGTTCATGTTTGGGGCCATTCCAGTTCCTTTTTGCTGCCGGCTAGCAGAGGAGGTGGGAGTGCGTTTTTGGGCAGTGCGTTTTTGGGGCCATCCAAAACGTAATGTGCCGGGGAATGGTGCGCTTTTGCCGGCCGCGAAAACGAACAGCGTCAATCTTTTCGAGGGAGCGCCCCTCTTGGTTCGCGCTTCAAACGAAGCTCCGAAGCTCCTGAAGACTCAAGCTTCCGAGCTTCACTGACGGTCTGAAGCTCCTGACATCTCGAGCTTCGGAACGGAACTTCGAACATGCAGCATACCTTGAAATCATTGAAGTCGTGTTGTTTCTGGTGGCGTAGCACCACGGCCCGAAGCATCTGATCTAATGTATCCCAAACCGTCCAACACACATGTTCAATTGCTGTTATATACGAACTCACTGACGCCTTGTCTTGCTCTCTCCATCACTCTTAGTCAAGATGTAAGCCAAACACCAAACATTGACGAGTTCAGCATGTGCACGTGCTTTATCATTGTATCTATAAGGCTAAACGTCAATAGATTTGCGTTTGACTTCTGCGTCGGATTGCAAAAGATTGAGGGCGATAAACATAGCCCGCCGGCGCGTTGCACCATTGTGATAAGTGCATAAACACGGCAATTGGAGTCGAACATTTTGTGTTTCGAGACTAGCCAAATCAGTTGGCTAAAAACTGTCGGAAACATCTTTTGAGAACCTGAAAACTCGAGCTGCGGAGCTTCGCTGACGCTCTCAAGCTCCTGACGCCTCGAGCTTCGGAGCTTCACTGACGCTCCGGACGCCTCCAGCTTCATTGGTGCTCTGGAGGCTCCGGACGACTCGCGCTTCGGAGCGGAGCTTCAGAACGAAAAGTCCTGAACCACCCCTGGCGTGCAATCATCTCTTCCTTGTTCAATTCTCAAAACCTCGCACCTTGA